TTACTAAATAGTTAAACTCATCATTGATCTTTTGTTTTGTTCTCCATCATACCAACTCACAGGCTGCCACACTCACCTTTATTTTCAAATTTAGCTCAGTCTTGTTACGAAACAAAACCTTGATAGATTAAATTAGAGGAAAAAATACTTTGAAGATTTGAATAAAACAATATTGAAATTTATTTGGCTGGGAAGGAAACCAAGAATTAAATTAAAATTATTACCAGATGTCAAAGAAAGAGAGGGATTTGGTTTACGTGACTGGGAGCTGTATTACCAAGCTGCTGCATTAAATTGAGTATGAGAGTGGATAAAATTAAAAAAATTGGAGGTTACTAACATTGGAGGGTCATGACCTACAATCAGGATGGCACGCCTTTTTATGGGATGAAAAACATACAGTCCACCAGTACTCCAGAGGCATTATGTGAGACATGCTCTACTTAAGGTATGGATAAAAACTAAACAGCAAAATTACATAAAGACTCTGGTATGGCTCTCAACACTAGAAGCAATAGTGCATCCAAATTTCATGAATTTGGGGAAAGTCATTACATACAAAGATCTATTAGATGGAAAAGGGGAACTAAAATCTGAACTGAAAGAAGAAGGGATAAAACTTGAATGGTGAGCATACCTACAAATCCAATCAAGATACAAGAAAGACAAGAAAGAATGGGACATACAGAAAGAATTGATGGCAGTGGATAAGGTACTATTAGGAATAGTTGTGGTTCACTGGCAGCAGGTGTGGACAGATGAGGTTTCAGAGAGTGAGGACTCAGATGAGGGGCTTGCATGTGATGAAGGGATGGGGCCAGGACCATCAGGGAGTGGAATGCTGCCTTCAAGATTGTGGCAGCAGTGATGAAGAGGTCCCCAAGGAGCCTGTGCTCGAAGGAAAGAGCAGCTGCATCTACAGCAGCATGGGTGACTTGGAAGTAAGGCTGCAAGGTAATGGCCCCTCCCTTAGGAGATAAAAACCAACTGAGAAATCAGAGTTCTTTGCAGGAAGCAAATAAGTTTTTGTACTCAAGCCTTGTGGACATTCAGAATATCTTGGTTGGTGTTTGGAGACTCTTTGTGTTTGAAACATTTCTTAGTGTTCTAGTGTTCTAGTGTTCTTGGCAGCCTTGAACAACCTTGGCAAGGCTCGTTCTTATTAGAGACAATTAGTTTGAAACAGCCTTTTAACCATGAGAATGGAATTCGTAAAGAATCATTAAAAGGTTTTGCTGTTACCTTTGTTTCATGTTTGTTTCCTTGGAACAAGGTTTAGATCACAACAGGAATGGAGGGGAAAGCAATCAAGAGAATATACAACTATCTACTAGAATATAAAATGGAGGAGGAGCAAGTCAAAGAGTAATGATAAGATGGGCTAAAAATTTCAGTTATGGGAAAGAAATAGAAAATTAACATTGGCAACTTTGTATAAAGAGAACCAATATAAAATGTTTTACAGATGGCATCTTCCTCCAACTAGATCGGCCAAAATTAGTAAAAGTATACCACCACATTGTTGGAAATGTAACATAGAGATAGGGACCTATTATCATATGTGGTAGAAATGTATAAAAGCAAAAAAATACTGGTGGAAAAAAAGGTTTGGATAGAAGAGATGGTTAACCAGAAAGTAGAGTTCAGACCAGAAGCGTTCTTACTGGGAATTATTAATGAGAAATACAGTAAAGGAACAATATATAACGATACATATAATAACAGCTGAGAGATTGGTCTATGCTCAAAACTGGAAGAATGAAGATAACCCTACAGAAAGTGAAATAATAAGGAAAATATTAGTCTATGCAGAAATGGACAGACTAACTTTAGAAATCAAAGATAAGGGTGAGACAGAGTTGTTATGTCTCACCTTTCTTCTTTCCAAGAAAGATGAAAGAGTCCAAACTCAAACAAACACAGGCAGGCAAGAAGACTCGGTCTTTACAGAGTTAAACTTTTATACTGATAATGTCCTTGGCATTCCAACACACTCTGCCTGCCAAGTCTGAAATGATAACAAGAAAAAAAAACACTCACTGAAGATTCCAAAGCAAACAACGAAACCTGGAAGAGAAGCAAACTTTGCCCCGTACAAAGTTTCCAGAGAAAACACACCCACTTTTATCCCCTGTGGGGTGTGTCTCAATGACTCAGCTCACTCTCTGACTTGCCCACGCCTCCTACGTTGCAGCTCACCTTTCTTCCTATGACGCTGCCTAGGATCAAGCCAACATTCGTCCACTTGACTCCCTGCTCCGATATGCCCTCCTCCTCCTGATTAATCTTAGGCTGTTCCACTCGGTTGCCTGCTGAAACCTGAGGTATTATCAGGGAGGAAGGCATTGCCAGAGAGGAAGGTCCTGGGGAGGAAGGCATTTCCAATTCCTCCTCCTCATCTTCTGAGTCCTCTTCCTCTAACAGCACAGGCTCGGGAATCGGAGCCACAACACAGAGTATTATGAAGTCTGGAGTAAAATGTATCAATAGCTAGAGTCAAGGAAAAAGGAAGAAAGGGTTGACGCTTTATAGGAAGGAAAGTTAAAGTTTTGTAAACCAAAGAGAATGGAATATAATGGACAAATATGAGATGATACAAATGCATGAATATAAAATAAGTATATAATTCTATATAAATGTAAATAGAAATAATATGCAGCACTATACTAATAACATAAAGGAAAAAGGAAATTAACTGTTATGTGTATCTCTATACTATAGCTTGTATGGCCAAAATGATGGCCAAGAAAGTTGCACGGTGTTCAATTGTTTTTAATGTTTACTTAATAAAATTTATTTAAAAAACAAAACAAAAAATACCCTTGATATTCTATTTACAGTACATGCCCTGTGAACTTTAGAAGACATTATTTGGATTTTGTTATTTAGTAGAGAAAAAACAAAGCTCAGGCCTGGCAAAAATCAAAGGATTTTTGAACAGCTGATGTTCTCAATTTTGCCATCTATTTACCTGGATTAGGGTGAGGTTAGAGTGGATTTGGAGTACACATTTCAACTATAGAGCATAAAACCTGGGGGAAAAAGTATGTTTGGTAGCAGTTATTAATCCTAACAAATTTAATTTAATTGAACAGTTCAGCAATATTATCTTGCCACATTCAAATTTCAGAAGCATTGTAATAGGCAGAAAATGATGAAAATTCTAGAAAACTATATAGAAGTAACTATGGCAACTGACAATAAAGAATTCTGTAAAGGATTCCCAACATATCAGCCAGAGAAATCGCATCCTGTATATGCTGCATCATATTCTTAACAAGCTTACTGGACAGTGGTCATTCCCTTTCTTTTGCAGCTGACATATTTATTGTCCAAGGAATTTCTATCAAAGCATTTCGGCAACGTTATAGGATTTACATCTTTTGATTTCAAAAGTTGTTCTCCTTCCTTGTAGCATGTTATGTTAGGTGAAGCAATTACTTTCAGTTTCCAAGCTGTTGAAACATAATTAATGGTCCTTACTAGGCGATGATAAGAAAGGCAAATATCTGACAGTTAACTGGCTGTTATTTAACTATTAACTCTTAAAATTATAACTATAAACAGTATTTCAAATAATGAAACATTGCATTTATACACACACACACACACACACACACACACAATTCCAAATATAAAATATTGCAAAACTATTTCTATTTCTATATTAGACAAAAGAATACACTATACAAATCAGAAAGTAGATTGTGTAAGACTTTCACATCAAGAGATATAAAAACCATGATTATTTCTACTCATCTCTTCATTCTTGCTGCATTCTTCTGCTATGTGTGACACAGCTAAATCCCTGATAAATTACAATAGATTGAAGAGTGCAGATGACATGATTGGAAAAGAGCACAACTATATAGAAGACACTATAAGGAACATGCAGGAAAAGTCAGAAGCACCAAATTTCTGTTCGAAGTGTATAGGCATATGAATACTCTTTATATTTAAATTGGTTAAATTTTGATTCCAAAACAGTCTCTTCTACACAGAAGAAGAGCTGTGTTTTGAATTGCCAGAGAAGTACTTTAGTTGGAATTTTCACCAAGCTGGGTTTCAGCGGAACCAACCAAATAGTCCTGATTATGTCTGTTTCCATTGCTATGTTTGTGAATACTCATGAGCAGCTCAAGAGTTTATATAATCGTTGACTAATTATGGTTCAAGACATCATGGACAACAAAGCTGTAGTATGATTTAAACACACACACACACACACACACACACACACCTTACAGGCATCAGTTCAACCTCATTTTGAACCTGAAACAGGCTTTTTACAGCATCTTTTTGCTTATTGTCAAAGAAAAATAATCTTACATCGACTTTACTTAGCCAGAGAATATGATATGTAAATTTATTTCCCTTGTGAGACTTAGTCAATGTTTTTTATAGTGACAATTGAAACTATACTTTTAATCAACTGAATGCACATGTTACTTTCCCATTTTAACACTGAATTAGAATTCAGCTTCACTTCATTGTAGAAGGCAATCTAAATAGCTGTAGCAATGGAATAAAAGAATAGGTAAAATATTTAACTTTGTTTATCTAAGCAAGGCAGGCAATAGCCAGTTTTATAAGCAAGGTAAAATTCTCATTTGCCCAGACCATTGGAGAAGATGATTGAAGCCCTCCACCTTTTCTTTGTTCTATCTGGTTTTGTCATTTTGGCCATCTTTATCATTTTTCAGATTTACTGTTTCCTTGTTTTGAAATGTTTTAACAATTTGTAAACCAGCTTGAATGATTGGGAATTGGCCAGTGTACACATCTAATACATTATTATTATGCATATTGAATGAGTAGCAGGTGATGAGGGCCCTCAAACCATTTCCACTAAATTCAGGTTGTCAGCTCCCTTTTTGTTCCTTATTTATCATCTTTCAAAACTGTCTGACAATTCTAGTTCCTGATGAGTCCTTTTTTATGAGTGCTCTATGTGACACTGATTTTCCAGCACGTATCCATCAGTGTTTAGCTTGATAAAGTCAACAGTCTTATGACTTTGATCACAATGGTCCTTTCAAGGGATAATTAAAACTGTTCTTCCAACTCTAGTATTAAATATATTTGCATATATAACAAAGTTATATATTACATAGATAGATAGCAAAGCCTAAAACAATGTATCTATCTTGTATCCCACACAACACTCTATAACAATACAGATTATTTGGTGAACAAAATAAAAAAAACTATATAAGACACCCTCCTGAAGAAGTCAATCCTTAATTCAGTCAATATTGGACTATCTCTAATTTTCTATGACTTATATGGAAGGATACATATTTTAGTTCTGCTTAATATTTCAGTGATATTCAATACTGTTGAACATTATATTCCTCTGAGGGTTGCAGGTTGGAGATTTTGTTCTTCAATTGTTTTGTTTCTTCCTGAATAGATAAAGGGTGATCCAATCAGTGTTAATGGGGGGTGGGTTTGGAAAGACCAGGCCCTTGGCTATGTCATTATGAGCCTCAGTGTCCATCATCTTTTTCAATATCCACATAAACCTACTGCAAAAGATTTTTTTTTAAATTCAGAGTGAAGTATAATCACCTTCACTGAATAAGAAATGCAGAGGAAGTTCTGATTCAGTCCTTGGAATCTATGAATGGGACTGGATGGGATGGAACAGGTTGAGAATAAATCCTAGCACAAGAGAGGTGCTCTTTATTTAGAAGCTCCCTGGATCCAGAACGTCAGTTCCTTTGACTCTAGATAGCTTAGTCATGTCTCCTGAAGGAACAGCTGTGCAACTTTGAGATCTTCCTGAACTTATGACTTTTGCAAGCCTTTGTCCAATCTACAACAAAAAGTTCTGACATGAGTTATCAATACTCTTATTATTTTGTAGATGGATCATTTTAATCTGCTTTATATGGGCTGCCTTTATAAAAGGCAGCTGCCGGTAGGCTGAGTAGCCAAAACTGATATAGCAGAATAACATTTATGTTGTGGACTCCCAATTGATTCCCAATTGCACTTCAGGCTTCTACTCATTACCTATAGCTTGGGTCCTTGTTAGTTTGGGTTAAATAAAATTTATCTGCCCAGCACATGCTGGCCGAGGATACACTAAGAATATTCTCATCAAAACATTAAAGGAATGGTGTTTTGAAAAAATCTTTTTCCTTAGAAATCTCCTTGTGCCAGTTCCCAAAGCAAGGATCTCCCTAACCTTGGAAGATGGTAAAAACTGCAGGCATTTTGGAATTCGAATAAAATGGTCCTTTTCTAACCAATCTTTGGGGGTAGAACATGTCACCTTATTGGATCTCTAACCAGAACTGGTCTAGAATGCACGGAGTTACATAGTGTATGATTTACAATATTCATTTTGTTATTTTCGTGATATTATAGATAGTGCCATATACTAGAATTAGTAGAGCAAGTAGCATACAAATGTAGCGTGACATGAGGAAATAAAATTAATTGGTGGAAATATTTATTAATTAAAAGGTGAAAAAATTCCTTATGTAAACATTAATGCATGCATGCATGATTTCAATTTATGCTTCTGTTGTGTGATTCATACTGAGCATGTTTTTATATTCTTTCTTTTCAGAAATGTACATAACTATACTTGCACCCAAATAAAATAACAACTTCAAATTCTGCTTGCTTTGTATCCACCAACCCTCCTCCAAAGTGTGAGCAAACAAAACATGTGACTAACTTATAACTGTATATAACATGCAGAAAGTGCAACAGGTGCATATTGTGGGTACCATAGCCAAGAAACACGGCATGGACAGTAATTCAGTATGCATGCAGCAAGACATTTTGCACTTCCCAGGTGGCATTTTTAAAATCATGTGAGATAGGAGGATCAGTGCTGACAGTTCTTTTCAGCCAAGTCATTAGGACCATCTGCTCTCACTTTCACTGAGCCAAGAGCTTCTATAAAGAGAAGGCATGCCACACAGGATGGTTGGCCTCTTTTGCAGTAATGGGATTTCTGGAACCTTGAGAATGGAGCTGACTCTATTTCCTACCTCAGAGTTTTGTACGTTTTAATTTCAGCTGCTGGTCAAAGCATAGGGTAAAAAGCAACACTGGTAGCAGCCTCCTTAACTAGGGTGGCTGAAGAATGGGCAAGATCCTTCAATCTCTATGTGGGATCACCACCAACACTGATTCTACAAAGGAACAAGTCCATATAGATTTGTGTGAGGATCATTTGTAAGGCAATAAAATTTATGATAGTGTCACTCATGTTATAGCAATTGCAAATGTTACTCAATTCTTGATGTACGGTAATGTTTTGCAGGGACAGTTTCACATTTGCAGAAAGACTGGGAAAAGGTTCTTTTTAGGAAACTCATATTTAACATGTTAACATTTAACAAACATATATTTAATAAGTATGCAAAAACTGCATCTGTGCCTGATGATAGGAACAAAGTTATCATTTACATTTCCCCATACTGTACAAAAGGAAAGTTAGTAAGTGCAAATGCAAGAAAAAACTCTCATGGTATTAGTTTGTTCAGTGCATCCAGAAAAATGAATATCCCACTTTTCCTTTGTGAGGTTTAGGTTTAGGGCTAGGGTGACAGTGAGCAACATTTGAGAATTATGGTCAGATTTTATACCAGCCAGAAGGTGTTGCAGATCAGTTGTTCTTCAACATATCACTGAGTGTACTAATGTTAGAAAGTTTATTTCATGCTTGTTGATTTAAATAAACTCAAGTGAACGAACTAAAAGTATGGAATGCTTGGAATTAATATATGAAATCTGATTGTTGAATGTGATGGGTACAATATATCTTTAAATTAAAACATGCATATAACTAAATGGAATGTTGGGTGAATGGTTTGATGTTGATGAAGGAGTAAATCAAACAGGTGTGCTGTCCCCTTACTTACTGAATGTATAAGGAATGCTTGTGATGATGGTAGATATATGTTAGCTGGGGATATGAATACATTCATATTTTTGTTTGGTGATGTTGTCATGTGATTGTTTGACAACCTGAATAATTTGTTGATCAGATAGTGTGATACAATGAGAAGCATGGACATCAAAATTAGTATGTCAACAATCAAGTTAAATGCAGTTGAAAGAGAAATGGATCGTAATTGCAAGTTAAAAGAAATTGTAAAAATATTGCAGGAGATGAATGTGCGTACTAAAGATAAAAAAGAATAGATAAATGTTAAGGTGAGCAAATACTGTGCAAAAGATAATAGATAATGATCATTCAATTGCAAGAAATGAACATTTGTTAAAAGAAGCAAACACAGGTGTGCATAATGTAATGCTTCTGCCCATATAATTATGAGAGGAGAAACATAAAATTGAATAAAAGTGTGAATGGGATACTAAGTGTGTCATACAGTAAAAACGTATGGTCAAGAAAGATTGAATAGTTGAGAAATAAATAGAATGCAAAAATGAGTAATTGGTACAAAATGAGTGTTTCAAATTGTTTTGGTGATAAAGAATGAGGGTTCATTTATAGATGGAATGAAGGAGTTTAAAGGAAGGAGAAGAATAAGAAAGTTGTAACTGGAGAGAATTGATAAAAATCTTCAAAAAGAGAGAGGTGAGAACTTTAAAGCACAAAAGCCTATGAAATGGTAAGTAGATATATTGGAAGCATGGATGGTTTGCAAAGAGAGAAAGGTGTGGAGGAGTTTCGTGAATGATACTGGTGAAAAAATAGATTTAGCTATATTTTCCTTGCTTTTTCTTGTTGTGCCTTTAACTTTTGTTGCTTACTTGTTGTTTTTCCCTGCTTTGCAGAGTTGCTGACTCTGAAAGGAAATTGCATAATGGGAATGGAGATATGCTGAGTCTCAAGAGAATTTATTTATAGGTGAAATATCATCATTAAAATGGACAGGATATGCATTCATGAGACGCTGGCAGCCTATACACTCTTCCAGGATAGGGGATTGTAATATGATTCTCAAAATTCATTGATTTTCTATCAGTGAAGCATACCATATGTGACTTTGTATTGAAAAGGGATGCCACTCATACAATCCTGGTATTTAACATTCCCTGTGTTCCCCTGCCCCCAAAATCTTTCCTGAGATTTAGGAAACTCTCGGAAACAGAATAAGATATACATTGGAGAGCTGCCATACATCTGTCTATTTAAGTAAACAGGGAGGTTTTCTTCAAAGTTAAACAAAAAACAAGTTATCAGTCCAATAACAAAGCAAACAAGGTACTTTTTTCAATCAAGCTACCGATCTAAGAAGGATGAAGGTTCAACCTTGAGCCCTATCAGAATTGAGTTTCAGGCTGAGGGCAGAGCTTGCCTGCAATATTGAATTCTAACCACTATGCCACCAGGTCTCCTAAAGGTTCGTTAGAGGCTGCAAACTGCTGAAACCACACATTCATCTTTGAGTGCCACATCAGAAAAAGCTTTTCTCCTGAGTCCTATCAAATGATATACCTTCATGGATGAGACCTGCAACATGTCCTTTTTGCCAGACCTGATGGGACAGGTAGATGTTAGATCTGCTTGAAGTGCAATTGGCTCTTAAAAAATCCTGCCTTAATTTTGTCAGCTACCTTAAGATAGTTACTTTTCTCCCTTTATCTTAAAGGAATGTGTTTTCAATGAAAAACAAGTGAGAAGATATATGGAATTATTGTGAAAATCCACATGGCCATGGAAACAAACAACTTAGATTCAGAGACTAGTAGATACATCTGAATGTGTGATTTCTTTCTCTGTAGTTTTTTCAATACCCCCTTTCTCTTATTGTTGTTTAGGTAATTATTTTTAATTCAACACTCCGATGTTCTGTTTTGAAGCAGATTGCACTGAATTCAGAGAGTCATCAGCCCAGCAGCACCTAAAACCATTCCATGTTCTCTACAACAAGACCTGGTATCTAGCCATGTCTTTTTGCCTTTTCAGAGAGCTCGAACTACCAGGATGGCAAAACAGTCTTCAGAACTTTTATTAAACCAAATTTATTTATTCTTTGGTTAATGTGCATATACAAAAATAATTCTACATGCATATGAGCCCACCAGGTCTCATCCTCATCTTATATCCAACCATTAAAATATCTACAATAATCTGATCTTTCTTCAACATATCTAGACATAGTACTTTAAAGCATCCTGCACTTTTCATTTGAGCTTCTGCATTGCATTTCCACTGAATTTTAATGTAAACTCTTATTTTCTCACATGCAAGGCTATGAAAGCCGATATGACTTATCATATTTTATTTCTTTTGAAAGTTTGTTCTTCACTGCATGAAGGATCAAGTACGTCAGTATATTTTCTTATGGACAACAAGCAGTTTTTAATAAGCTTATGCTTACTAAAATTCCATTCCTCTGATGCAATAAACAATGGCAAAGCAATTAGCTTTCTCAAGCAAATGAATAATTGCAGGAACACAGATTTTAGGGCATTGCCACAAATGTTGTATAGCAAGTTAATGTGCTAAAGTTGGATTTTTGATGTTTTTTGAAAACTCAATAGGTTTATATATCTGTTGATTGCTGCTTGGTTGGAGTGTTGTACTACTAAGAATTGAAAAATTCTATGCTGCCAGAAATGGAGGACTGTCTGTTAAGTATTATCGTACCTTAAGTGACCTCTTGTTTTTGGCTGTATACTCTTCCCAAGAAAATTACCTTTAGCTCCTTTTCCAGAAACAGCATTTGCAAAACCTTTTCATTACAAATAGTGCTCACAGTAACTGGAATTGACCTCATGCTCTTGACTTTATCATACAGTTTCTTCCAGTTATTATTCTCATCCCTATGGCAGAATTTGAAATTAAAAAGAGATTGATTTTTGGTAATTTATAAAAGCAGGCAGCATGACAAGTAAAACATGCAACATGCCTTGGGGCTCAAAATGAGCCAGTCTCTTTCACACTGTCACACTTAGGCAGACTCTTGAAAAAAAAAAAGACATAGGAATTGAATGTTTAGAGAAAAATTTATAGGGCTGGGTTGAGTTAATTGGCCCCAAAGTAATTGGGTCAACAGACATCCGGTATATTAAAGAAACAGATTCAAGATCAAAAGTGTTTTCTTCACTTGAAGTTCTGTTCCTTCCATCTTGCACCATCATACCTGATTCACATTCACAATTTTTGCAATGTTTCCATTGTTAATTTCCTTTGAGATATTGTCAATTCTTATACACTGCACCATCATCAGCTGCTTGTCCCACTTTCTTTATTAAACACATTCATCCAGACTGAGTCTGCTTTCCATTTTCAGAAAAAACTTTTTATTTCTCTCCTTTCTCTGCCCAAGACTTGTACGTTTGCTTTATTTTCTTCTCCAAAATAATGGAGTGAATCTGGATTATAAAGAAGGCTACCTACATTCTTTTGCATATAAGAGTAGGGAAGCAAGCAGGTCACAGTATATTCAACTGTGTAACTGACATGATTAAATCCAAATTTGGGGACAATGTCAGCTGAGGTACCATAGAGGGGGCACAATAGTAAAAATAGCATCTTTCTTGTAATGGAGCTTAGCTGTTCATATTCATTTGTATTCCCCCTTTGCTTCTTTTATGAGTATCTTCTTTTCCAAAGACTTTTATCCTGTAGCTCTGCCAACTTTGTCTCCCTCAAGGTGACCTTAGATCTTTAGATCTCTCTGGAATCTTCCAAGTCCCTTTTGGTTTACTCAACCCCTATTTTCCTTGTTTCTGTGGGTTCAGAAACTGAGATGGGGCCTATCCTTGCTATGAGCCCTGGTTGAATTAGAGCTCAGACTCAGCAAGTAAAATAGAGAACAGAGTGAAGATCTTGCTAAGGGAGTAACTGTCTTAATTAAAGATAGATAGCTACAACCTGATTTAAGAAGCAGGCCTGACACATGTTTCTCTATTGGAAACAGTCATTTGATTTCCTGCTCTATTGTTCCTGTGTATTCTGCTTGTATAAAAAACCTTGGAACGCCAGTCTTTGGATTGGTTGACAAATCAGACTTGGCTCACTGAACTTTGGACTGGATTTTGACTTCTCTTTTGAAGTCCTCCTCCTCATTGCTAACCAGCTGCAGCTGTGTGTTTTCCCCATCCGAAGCCTCAGGTCTGTCCTGCTGCAGCTGCATTTCAGCTAAACTACTCTCAGCCAGCTGCTCGCAGCCATTGACCAACTCCCATCCTGATGTACCTGGGACTGGTTCATCCTCCTCTGAACTGACATCTGGGGATGTGTCTGGGGGATTCATCACCAACTCAAAAATTGGAGATTGGGAAAGCAACATCAACAATCTTGAACATGCTGCTGACAAAACTCTCATCTCAGAAACCAAAGAAGGCCTGAAATATCTGATCAAAAGGATTAAAGAAAACAGCGAGACATTTGGTCGCTTCTGGAATGTCAAAAAGACCAAGCTTATGATCACTATTGTCATAATAACAATTGATGGTGAAGAGATAAAATGTATGCATTCAAAAATTCACTAATTTAGGATTGCAAATTGATCAAAACAGTGAATACAGTTTAGAAATAAAGTGTCGAATTGCACTGTATTTGTTTAGTTTACTTTATTGTCATTGCACCTCATACAATGAAATCAAACACCATCTTCAGTGCACATAATGACCATGAAAATAAACACAAACACACATCCTTCACACTCCATACATTGAACCAAAAACCCGCAACACCGCACCAACATTGCACTATATAGTAGAATTCAAAAGAGCTACTGCCCTGGAATAGAAGCTGTTTTTCAGCCTATTTGTCCTTGCTTTTATTATTCTGTACCATCTGCCAGATGGTAATAGTTCAAAAAAAGGGTTCCCAGGATGAGATGGATCTTTGAGAATGTTTTGAACTTTCTTAAGGCAGTGGGAGCTATAAAGCTCTTCCAAAGAGGGGAGAGGGCAACCAATGATCTTCTGGGCAATGACATTAACCCTCTGGAGTGCTTTCCTATCTGTTACTGTACAATTGGCAAACCATACATAGGTGCAGTAAGTTAAGGTACTCTCTATAGTGCAGCGGTGGAAGGTCACCAGCAGTTTTTCACTCAGGTGTGGTTTTCTGAGAAGTCTCAGGTAGTATAAACTCTGCTCTCGGGTCCTCTTTTATGGTAACACCCAGAAACGTAAAACTGGCTACTTGCTCCACTCGGTCTCCATTGATAAGCAAGGGCTGGATGTCTGATCTGTTCCTTCTATAGTCCACTATAAACTCCTTGGTCTTATTGGTGTTGAGGACCAAGTTATTTTCTCCACACCACAAAAGGAAACGGTCCACCTCATCTTGGTAGGCAGACTCACCCCCCCTGGAGATGAGACCCACCACTGTTGTATCATCTGCAAATTTACTAATAGTATTACTAGTGTGAGTGGGAATATAGTCATGCACATAAAGAGTATAGTGTAAGGGACTCAACATGCAACCCTGTGGTGTACCAGTGTTAAGAATAAGGGCTGAAGAGGTATAATTACCTAATCTGACCCTCTGTGAATGGCCAGACAGGAAATCCATAATTCAAAGGCAGATGGAATAAGAAAGTCCAAGGTCCAGAAGTTTAGACACTAGTCTATGTGGAAGAATTGTGTTAAACACAGAACTAAAATCCACAAAAAGCATCCTCACATAACCTGCATCCCCCGCTATTCTAGATGAGTCAGAGCAGTGTGAAAAGTAATGGCTATAGTGTCTTCCATAGATCTATTTCTTCTGTATGCAAACTGATGTTTATCAAATGTATGCGGAAGACCAGAAATGATGTGCCGTTATTACATAGCAATGATTAGCATGAATCAAATATGGTAAAGCAAAGACATTAGCCTGGCATCTAAATATAGATTAGTTGGTACTATCATGCCTCCCATAACTACCTACAGTTATGAAAGCTGGACCATGAAAAAACTAGACAGAAGGAAAATTGACTTGTTCAGACTGTGGTGTTAGAGAAGGCTCCTGAGCATTTCTTGGACATCAAAAGTGGCAAACAAGCACTGAAGCATATAAAACCAGACAAATCACTGGAAGGCAAAAATCACAAAATTCTGCCAATACTTCTTTTGGCCATATCATGTGATCAAACTCACTGGAAAAGGCAGTCACACTCAGAATGGCCAGCAGCATCTGTAAAAGGAAACAAGGCTGCCAAAAAATACAGTGGCTAGACATCATTGAAATTGACATCAGCCGCAGTATATAAACAACTGAAAGAAGCTGTACAACATCAGACAGTGATGTTGTGCAGTATGTTTCTGGTTCATAGAATTTTTGAGAATTGGACACAATTAAAAGCATAATATCACCACTACTCAACGAGGCTTGCTAATACCTACTACCTAAATAGCCTATGAACTACTTTTACAGCCAATATAAGATCTGTTCCATTCAGGATATATCTAGTCCAGAGAAATTTAATGGTTTGCATGATCAATTTCCAGTTTTCTTTGCACAATTCACACTCTACATAGATCTACGTCTTGAAGACTTTCAAAATGACAATATGTGTGTGAGCATGGATGATCAACTTATTGACTAGAGCTGATGATAAAGAACAGAGACCTCTGATAGATGACTTTGATTTAGCTAGCAATTAGAGTGTATGTATGCCAAGTGTCTTCAAACTTGGCAAGTTTAAGACTTGTGGACCTCAATTCCCAGAATTCCTGAGCTAAGATGACTGGAGGGGGAATTCTGGGAGTTGAAGTCCACAAGTCTTAAACTTGCCAAGTTTGAAGACCCCTGATTAGTTGGTACTATCAACTAATCAACTAATCCCATGAAATCCCAGACTGCCAGTAGGTGTATTTATGAAGTGAACAAAGGGCAAGGCCTGGTGGCCGAATACATCAATACCATTAGATTATTAGCCCATGGCTTGGACTGGAACAATGCAGGTTTAGCTAATAATTTTTAAGAGGATCTGTTGAATGAACTCCTTAATGAATTAGATTGAACTGAATGGGCAGGAATCTTCAAGTCATGATGCAGTTCTTCCTATGTATAAATGGACATCTATCACAATGAAGGGCCAAAACATGAGGATCTAAAAGATGAGACTGCCTGCACTCACCATACCATCATTTCCTGCAATAGAGGAATTTATGTAAGCCAACAGGATTCATCAAGCAGAAAAGATTTAACAATTCAGAGTGGAGCTTTGATTAACTGTGAGGGCCAGGATTATATATGCTGTTAAGGCATTGTGCTCCACCATGTTGGGAAATCTTTCTAGACTGGGGCAATTTATCAGCAAGTCAGAACATTCACATAACTCCCACCAATTATCTAGTGGCAACTGTAGAATTTCAAGCGGGAGGAAAAAGATATCTACTAATTTTGGCTTTGGTTGATTTTGAAGCTACAACCAACTTATGGATCTCTAGTTCATAGCAGACCATGGAATTCCAAAGCACACCATCCAACCACTCCTAGTAATTGAGGTGATCACAGTTGTCCTCTGCTCTCAGTCCCAGTGGTCTGGGCCACATCACCATTGAGCATGTGATTAGGAATTAACCAGGAAAAGCTTGACCATCTATGTATGTGTGAGTTTGAAACCTGAAATGGAACATGCATACACTCAAAGGTTTATGAGTAAAGTTGGCTGATATGAGGAGATCGCAGTCTGAAACTGACCAAAGGGGTTCAAATAATCCACTTTCTCTAGAATTCCTTGGAGCTGCAGGCCAACCATGTTACCCAAAAGGGAAAGTTGGAATCTGGATTATAAATGGGCAGATATGAGAGATACATGATCATTTACTGAGGAGGGGTTGGACTTTTATTTTTTTAAAAACAGAGATGACTATAAGCCTGGGGGAATTCATCTACTAATCCAGAGAGGCATTGAGCAGCATGGGCAAGGAAAGTGCTTGTCAGTAGCATAAATCCAAGCTTATTGCTAAATTTCAGCTTTATAAATAGACTCTCATGCTGAGCTATCTTTGAGGCAGTGCCCTGACAACCTTCTGAATCACCCAGAAAACATAGTACCCCTGTCCCTCCCAGCAGATTGCATCTGGGATCCTATAGTATGTCTTTAGTGGAATTTAATTCCAAACACAAGGCAGAAAAATACCCACTGATGAAAGCAATAGATATGAACATTAAACATAAAGTAGAAAACAAAATGCCACAAACAGCCTGTTCAGCCTAGAATAAAACAGTTTAGCTACGGAAAACAGCCCTGTGGCTAGAAGCAAATCTTGTTTCATTTTTTCATTAGGCTCACTCGACTTAAAGAGATGAGGAAAATGGGCTGGGCATTAGAGCTTAAAATTAGAATACTGTATCAGTAGTGTGTCTTGCAGCCCCCTAGTGGCCAAGTAAAATCAGTAAGATAATTTTGCTTTGTTATAAGGACTGTTTTCACTAATTCTGATAAGAGTAGGTCAACAGGGAGACAAATAAATAACCCCCTCCCAAAGAAATATAGTATAAATAGCCAGTGATCCAATTTAAGTAAGGATAGAATTTCATAATAGCAGGCTAGCATTTGATGACATGAAACAAGCTGGAAAAAAGATAACAGTTTACCCACCTCCACAAATATTAACAATAGATGTTTTTCCATTACTCAGTCCTGAATATCAGCAAGACAGCATTTGAAGAAGTTAGACAGCTGCAGATCACAAACCAGTATCAGACTATGTGGATAAAATGCAGATATGTTACTGAGAATGATAAGGTCTTCACATCACAAGTAGGATTCATCAAAACATTTTTGTCTCGAAATAGATTATGTGGCAAATCCTGTTTGCTGAGTTCAGAACACTTTTGATTTGGTCATGGGCTCCCCCCCCCCCCCCCGAATTTGAAATGGTTTCCTCGGACTATTCTGGAAGTGTTTAAACCCCCAAAAATCCTATTTCAAATTTGAAATAGAGCTCTTTTGAGCTGAAATGCTTTCAGAATGACCAGAGCAAGCTATTTAGAGCTCAAAACCCATGCTTCGTTTTGAACTCTGAATGGAGCATTTTGCACAACCCCCATTGCAATCAAGAAGGATAGTGGCCTTCTGTCTCCCCCAAGAGTCATGATCTTCTCCCTTTTGGTCTTTTAGCTACTTTCTGATTACAGAAATCTGAAATGGGTATCTTTGTTTTTTTCTAATATATAGAAATGCTATGCTCATTTAACTATTGTCTGTGAAAAAGGCAAAGTCAAAGGGGAGGGAATTAGAATCTTTCCATCAGCAACTCTTGACAGCAGTTTGATTCTATAGCTTCTAATAAACTATGTTTGCACATCTCGTTGCTTACCTTTTCCTAGTGGTAAAAGGCTTAAAAAATAAACCGGTTGCCTCAAGAGAGAGAGAGAGAGAGAAACCTAAACAAATTAGCTATTTATCCAATGTACAATAAGAACTA